CTAAGCCGTAGCTGCTGACGCGGACTGTTCTCGGCCGACGCAGAAAGGCGTGCGAGAAAAAAAAGAAGCTGGTGCAACGGGCCAACGCACCCCGGCTGCCACGACAACCGCCGCGCTCGACCCCCTCGCCCAACTCCTAGAGCACCCCGGCTCGGCCTCAAGCTCCTCATCAAGTTCGTCATCTTCTGCAGCTGCCGGCCCGGCCCCGGTGCAAGCCGCCGAGGCCACCCCGCCAGACGGACCAGTGCACCCAAGCCTCTGCCCCCGACCGGCAGCCAGTCCAAGACACGCCGCTAGCGGGGGCTCGACTGCGAGCGGCTTTTGCCAGTTGGTGCGATCGATGTGTTGCAGCAGCCTTGCCCCACCTTCCGGTCACAGCCCGAACTCCCGCGAGGCCCACTCCGCCAAGCCATGCATTTGGCCTTGTCGCACATCCAGTCTTTTGCAGCAGCTGCTGCCACCAGCGTGGAGTCAGAGCGCGCTTGGAAGTTGCTGCAGCGCCAGCAGCTCCTCCCGGCGGCTCCGGGTGTCTGCACGGCGCCCCTGCAGCAGGTGCGGGAACACCTCCAGGCTGGCCCCGGCCAGGCGCTGNNGTCCACTGCTGCAGCACCTGCGCGTCCTCGCAGAGCTCCCGAATCACGCAGTCCCAAAAAAAAGTTGTGGTTGTTCCTCCCCCACATGTTCTTGTTCCGGCCCACAGCCTCCAACTCGAAACCGATATTGACCCCAGCTGCACTGTCCGGTTTCTTTTTCCACACGCTTTTTTACGCCTGCAGTGTCGAGTCTGTCGTCGTTTTACTAACGGCAGGCAGGCTACCACAGGGAAGGAGGGTCGGCGCGGTCCAGGCAGGACCAGCGGCCGCGGGAGCACAGCTTGCATCAGTCCCAGCACGCATCGGCGAGGACCTCATGCAAATCGGGCATGGGTTCTTCGCCCAACTCGGCTGCGGGGGGCAGCTTAAGGAGTGTGGCGGCGTAGGCGCGCTGGGCCGCAACAGGCGGGAGGGGCAGGCGCAGGCGCCGTAGCAGGTGGACGCGGAACTGTGCACTGGGGATGGCGATGTCATCGCGCGTGCTCATGAGGGTTAGTGCGCGAGCGCGTGCGTGCTTTTCTCGACGACATTTATGTTACCACCCCGCCTGCCCGCACTGCTTCCGTGTTGTCGCGCCTCGAGCACCATCTGTTCGCGTCATGGCACATCCGGCTCCATACCGGCAAAACGCGCGTATGGAATTCTGCTGGTGTTCGCCCGCCCCATCTCCCGCGCCCCGCGGAAAGCTGCACCACTTGGGTTGGTGACCCCGCCTTGCCCCCACATGACCGTGGTTTGCGTGTCCTCGGGGAACGGACGAGTACGTCGCTGCGCAGCTCCAGCGCGTTTCCGTGCAGCACCACGTGCTCTCCTCCAGATGCTCCCTGGCATACATGACCTGCAAGTCTCGTAGCTACTGCTGTTGTTTTGTGCGTCTCCTCACGTGCACTACTGTCTTCGGTTGCTCCCGCCTGCACTCACGGCTGCTTTTTGCTGTCGCTCATGATCGCGACATCTTGTGCTGCCTCGCCCAGCTGCTCCACCTTGTTCCCGGCGATGTCGATCCCCTGCCCCAACCCGCCGCCGCTCGTGCCAACTTGTGTTTGCGCCACGGCGGACTTGGTCTCCGCAGTGCAGCCGAGCATGCCGCAGGCGTACTTTGCATCCAGGGCTGACTCGCTTCGGGCGCTCCGTGTCCGTGAGCCTGACTCTTGTCACGTGTTGCCCGTTTACTTGATGACGCAACACTTGCCTCCTCACTCCCCCGCTGCTTGAGCTCCTGCGACACTGGTTTCCAACTTCCTGCTTTCGGCGACTTGCCCCCACGAGCCTGTCGACACTACTCGGGGTTGGCAGCGGCCCGCCTCCCGTGCTATCGACGATAGCCCCGCTGGCCGCTTCCGCACAATGCTCGACCCTCCTTCCCTTGCCCTGCTGGAGTCTCAGTGCGGACCGTTCGCTTCATGGGTTCTCACTGCCTTGCCTTCCTGCAACGAGCTCACCTTGGACCCGCCTGTTTTCCGAGCTTTGTTGCTCCACCGGCTTCGCTTGCCATTGCCACTCGACGCTGCAGCCTGTCGTTGCTGTCGTCCCGTCGACCCTCTGGGTGACCACCGCGCTGCCTGCCCCCGTTCTGGCATCTTGCGATCCCGTGGCCTCCCGCTCGAGCGTGATGCTGCCCGTGTTTGCCGCGAAGCCGGGGCTACCGTTGCCTGCAATGTTCTCGTGCGTGACCTCAACATCCACCCCGAGCGCCTGATGACCGCCGCATCGAGGTTATCGCCAACACACCCCCGCTCCGGGGCGGAGCGCAACTCGCCGTTTGTGTCCCCTCTCGACGCCAGTGTGGCTGCCCGTCGGCACCAGCGGCAGTACCGCGGCGCTGCTCTTCGCCTGGCATGCGAACGCACCTACCCGGAGCTGCTGCGCTCGCAGAGGTGCCGGCTTGTTGTTCTTGCACTTGAGGTTGGTGGCCGCCCGGGTGGCCGCTGGAGTCCCGAGGCCCCCCAGTTCGTTCGCCTCCTCGCTCGCTGCCACGCCCGTGCTGTGCCTCGCCTGTTGCGGCCTGCAAGCATTGCTGCCTTCACTTCCCGTTGGTCCGCCTTGCTCGCCTTCTCTGCCGCCAGAGCCTTCGGTGCCAGTCTCTTTGGCCTTTCCTTGCCCGGCACCGCCAATGTTGATGGCGACCATCCCCTGCTCAGCGAGGCCCTTTCCTCGATTCGCTTCGACGAAGCCCCGCCTGTTGCCAGCCGTCTCCCCCCGCACTAGTGAGCTGCAGCATGCTGCAGCCTTGGACTCGGGCGTGGAGGACGCTGACCTCGCGAAAAGCAGCGTGTAGCTGCAGTTCCTCCCCCCTGCACTGGGGCCGCCAAACTCCTGTCGCGAAAAGGTCCGGTAAAAAAACTGCTTTCCTGACTTGTCGTTATTACTCCTAATACCTGTATGACAGTTCTTGCTACGTCATACTTAGTGTATCCTGCTACCGGCAATGGTCTCTGCGAGAGTGGATATTTCTTTTCTCATGGACCTTTTTGCGACTGGAGATCCGCGGTCCTACTGCAGGGAGACTGCAGCTACACGCTGTGGTTCAACCCGCCCCAACACCTCAGCGTCCCCGAAAATGAGCCCGGGTCATCTCCGATTCACCACCTCTATTAGGGGGTAGTTACGCTGGCCCACACCACCGCCCCACATGTCGGAGCGCAGGACCGTAGCAGGCGCGACTTCGTTGTGTACAGCAGTGGGGGAGTGCAATGCTTCGAGCGCTCGTGTCCCCACTCACACGGTCGATGGCGAGGCCCAGCTGCTGAGCCAAACCACATGCCTTGGACAGCGTAGCACGCAGTCGGTCCAGCCTCGGTCTGCACAGGGACCGTCGCGTGGTGGACGTCGGTTAGAGGGTACGAGAACGGGTGGAGCATGCTGTCGGTGCGGCCGACGCCAGCACGGCTTCGGGTTGCAGCAGGTGCAACAATAGGCCGGCCCCGCCGCTCGACAGCAGTAGCTACAGCGCCTTAGCTGGCGGTGGAGTGGTTCAGATCGTTACCGCGAGGGGAAAAGTGCGAAAAACAATCAAACAGGCTGTGTGCCCAAATGACGTAGCACATGGATACCATGAGGAAATGCAGGGTGCAAACCCAACGTGAACACGGACCGCATCAATCGCTTCGACCATTCGGCCGGTCTGCAGACGGCAAGGATCGAAAAAACTTTCAAAACGGCGGTTTTTTTTCCAGAACAGTACAAGCCTGGCCGTCAGACCCCGACAATTGGCTGCTTATGTCCCAGCTCTTTTGGTCATTAGTTTCAAGTCGCGTCTGCACAAAGGAAGCCGCGTGGGCGGGGTTCAGGAGCCAAAGTCTTTAGTGCATCTTCTGACCCGAAAGGCGGTCCCAGAGTAATCGATTGGCGCCGTGGCCGTAGGTAGGCGGTCGCGATCGGAACCAAATTCCGTGGGACATGGTGACGACACGTAAAGACGTGTTCCGGTCTCCAGCACAAGAGGCGCGGACCCCCTTTTACGGGTCACCGTGCTGTAAACCCGTTTTTGCTTGAACAACCCGAGCAAGCCCCTGCCTCGGTTTGTCGTCATCATAACATCATGTTCTTTGAAAGCAGGTGTACATTGTCTGTTCGATTTCAATAAGATACAATAAGCAAGATGTTCCCAACAAAGGGTGGTTGAATACCTGAAAAAGTGCAAGACAATACGTAGTTTGGCAGCATCGGGGACGTGGATGGAGCAGCTTTCCAGAATAAGGGCCAACTAGTGCAAGAACAAATCCCAGCTGGGAAGAACAACCTTGCCAACGACTTGTTTGACATGCTTGACTGACGCCGCTCCATGCAAGCTCACGGGAATCCGTGTCTAGTTAGGAAAGCAAGAAGGGCTCAATTCATGCAAAGTTCGCGACGGGCACACCCAAGGCTGGCTGGCTGTTGCACAAAGAGCAGTTGTGTGGCGGAGTGAGTGTGTAGGTTGAGATGTGTGTGTGTGTGTGTGTGCTCGACAGGTGCTGCGCCTCATGAGCTTGGCAGGCCAAGAAAGAGAAAAAAAAGAGAGTCGGATGATGAAGGTTGCGGGTTTTGACAGTTATTGATTTGTATCGTCTACCCCTAGCACATCATATAAAATCGTCAGTGGCTGCAAGCTTCGATGAATCTATCAAGATTGAACAATGCCGAAAGTTTGACTTGTGAAGGAGCGGCAGACCCTTCTGATGATGGAGTCGATCCACGAAGAGATCGAGATCATGCAGAAGCAACACCAGAGGCACGGTGTGCGTGTTAATGATGGGCTTGGACATTGCTGAACGTGCGAGGTGCCGCCTGGCGGCATTGCGGGTGAGGCCATTTGTTGCAATTCCGCTTTGTGTTCATCGTGCCTGAAACTCTTCTGCAGTCACGCTTTGTTGCGTAAATTGAAATTGTGTGTCATGCTCAGAGGCTCAAACAGCTGCAGTTGCCATGGCATCCCTTACTAGGGACAGCCTGGCAGCCCGGATGCTGCAGCGGGGAACTTTACCAGCATGGGAGCTGCTGGGCAAAGCCGCTTGGAAGGATGATCGTTTGAATGCCGGCAAGAAATCTGCAGTTTTTTAATCTGTTCGAGCTAGCCGTTAGGTCGGCAGCAGTTGTTCGGTAAGCACAAGCAAAGGTTGCGAAGGCTGCACCATCGCTTTGGTCTCCGTCCACGAGCTCTGTTCCAAGCAATGCGATGTCAGACCAAGTCATCCCTTCACACAACAACAAAGCTGCATGCTCGCCGGGTGCACCACACAACCGCAAACCCAGGTCTGCGGATTCAGAGCCATTACCAGAGCCTGCAGAGAGAACAAGTGCGAGTTCCAGTTCCATCGCAGGATTTCGTCAGCATCTACGAGCAAGTCTTAGTGGTTTGAGTTCCGTGTTCCGTTCTCCCAGCAAGAGGAAAGTGGGAAAGCAGCGGCCATCGCATTTGCCCACGATTGCCGCATCGCCTGCCGTAGTGTCGACGCCTTCGACGGCAAAGAAGCTCCCCCCACCGCCAGTGTCCACGCCTGTGGAGCTTCAGCCGCCTGAACAGATTCGTGTAGCCAAGAAGCAAGCCAAAGAGCAAGCAAAGGAGGCGTTTGCAAAGTCGCGGCCGATCAAGCCACGCCACCGCAAGGTGGGCAAGCAGCGCCCGTCGTACTTGGCACCAGTGGGCGACATCATGAAACTGCCTCGGCCGTTAGGAGCCAATCCAGGGACTACTAAGGACCCCGGTCCAGCGAGTCAGAGACGAGCGTCTGTAGAAGACCGTTTGGCTCCAAGTCCGGCAGAGACGCAGTGCACGCAGACACAGGCCAAAGCAGAATCCTGTGCGCCAGGTGTGCCTGGCATGTCGGTCGAATTGCGGCCTGAGGCGGCGCATGTCGAAGCCAGACTAGATGTAGTCAAGGCGAAGGACCAGCTCTGGGGCCAGTTATCTCAAGAAGGCACGGTGAGATCACTGTGTTCGGAAGGGCAGCCTCAGCCCTCAGCAGCAGTGTGCACGACATCAGCCCCGAGCAGCCTTAGCCCGAAGAAGCCACGGACATCCACCGGCAGGAAAAGGTCACTAGATCAGGCTGAGGTTCCTAAGCCTCCTACGCCTTCTTCGGACATGCCTCAACCAACAAGAGGCCTCAGCTCCATTGCCGCGAAGCAGCGCATGACAAAGCACCACCGTCCCATCACAAAGCGGGTGAAGCTAGAGCAGGCCAAGCTCGAGGAGGACAATTACGAGATATCAGACCTGGAGGAAGACTTGCATGGCAATCGTGTTGAGCCGGATCGCTCAAGGAAGCGTATACCGGCATGGTGCACCAACTACGTCCAGACTGCAGAGATGCAAGCCGAAGTTGATCCCGACAGCATTTTTGGCTCTCATATGCCGATTTGCGATCTGGACACCGGCAGCGATTGTTTTGTTTATGTGCTTTGCATCTCGTACCCAGTGACTACATAAATACTTTCGGTGGCCCGACCTAAAAGTTGTTCGTTGTACTCTCAGGGGGTACTGCATGGTTGCTTCAAGCATGACTGTGGTGCCCGAAGGAAGTCATCTTCCCCGACAGCTTCTACAGAGGTTCCACTCCCATCAAGCGTCGGCGTGGTTCCTCCTGCAACTGGTACCGTGATGGGCTGACCCAGCGGGAAGTCAATGCCTATGCGCTCAAGATGGGCCAGAAGAGGCAAGCTGTTTTCAGGTTGTGAAAATTTCTGGTAGCAAGATCATGCAATATCATGCGCAGTGAAGCCTTCCTTTGCTCGGACACATGGAGGCAACGCGCGCAAACATGTCGCACAAGACTCAGGTGTAGCCGTCATACATCGCATAGTATGCAACTGATGATCCCTTCTGGACGTTGGCTTGGGGCATGAGTTTCAGCATGGCTTTCTTGACCGGTGCACTGCTCTGCCTGCGCTTCTGTTGTGCTGTCGGGGTTCCACCGTGGTCTTGCTGCGAGTGTCCACGTTTCAGATGTGGATTGCGCGTGGATCGTGAAGAGTCTGAGCTAGCCTCATTCTGCAAAAGTAAATCTGTAAATAGGAGCATGCATCGCAAAATTAGCAAATAGCCTAGAGTTCCGTTATTGTTGTTTGCAATGAAAGTATTGGAACACCCCGACCCCTCTTTGCATCCGCTGCTTTTCACGTTCGTTGAAAGTCCTAAAGTTTCGAGACTTGGCATGATTCCGTATATATAGTTGATGTTATCTACTACCTCGTATTTATTGCGTATATGCATTAATTGTACATGCATACATATATGTGTCAACAGAAAATTTAATGTACTGTCTAACCACTGAGGCGGGTATGTCTTGACGGAGGAAGGTATGCTTGTATTGACATCCTTTGGTTTTTTGTAGGCCTTGCAACGGCTTGCTTTCAGGAACATCATGCAATTGAAGCTTCCATACCCAGACTCGTCCTTTCCAAACCGCACCGATACTGCCTGTGTCTCAGGTCTTGGTCGACCGCGAAGTCATCCTTCACTTTGGCAACCTCCAGGACGGATTGGGTCCCAAATCGCGAGCTTCTATCCTTCACCGTATGCTGGTTCTGTTCAGGATATCGAAGGCCGACATCCCCTTGCCACCAGTGCTAGCGAAGGTGAAGGTGGAAGCGGCCCCGGCAAAGCCCACAAGCTGTGATCAATGATAGATATGCGAGGGGATCGAAGAATATTTGCGGGTCAAAAGGCTCAGAACCTGTGCCAAGACGGCCTGTGACAATGTAGAGATGAGAAGAGTCGCAACAGACATCACTTGAATAGATCTAGGTAGCCTCCAACATTCTGCAGGTTACCGGAAATATCGGATGTAAAGTAATGGACAGTTACATAAGCTGTTACATACATAGGTAGGCAGCTGGACCACACAGAGGCAGACAGACAGACGGATGGGCGGACGGTCACGCAGACAAGTAGATAAACAGACCGCCAGTTCGTGAGACAGCCAGAAAAGCAGACAGACGAAATGCGGAAAGGCAGGAACATTGGCAGACGTGCGGCTGCTTGAGGCCGAAAATGAATCGCGCACACACACACAGAGACATTCAAGCAAGCTTGTAACCAATTCACCCACTGACACACCCGACCGACCGACCGACCGACCAACCGAGCAACCGACCAACCGACCAACCGACCCACCGACCCACCGACCGACCGACCCACCGACTCACCGACCCACCGACTGACCGACCCTCCGACCAACCGACCCACCGATCCCGACCAACCCACCGACCAACCAACCGACCAACCCACTGGCCGACCCACCAACCAACCGACCGACCAACCAACCGACCCACCAACC